ACTTGACTCTTGGCGAGATGTTCAACGATAATCATGCCTTCCGAGGTGCATCGCCCTAATGCCATGACATCTGTATAGTTTCAGACTTTTAATTCCTTAAATACGATAGTTCTTTGAAAGATACTGCCTAACTGACAATTTATACAATTTCAATCCTTCAATTCCTTGTGAAAATGGAGTGAAGAGTAATAACCATCAACTCCTTTATAAGTTTCTTCTCCTTGCTCAGAAAATTTCGATACAGTAACCATAAGTCTCTTCTTCTCTTTGAATTCGCTTTTAAAGACAAACAAAACATTGAGATTAAAAAAATAAAAGTAAAAATAAACTTAGCACACAATAGACATAACTAAGAAATAGAAATAAAATTAAGAATACACTCAATATTTAAAAATAAGATATTTTGGATTATTAATTTTCTGAAAAGGAAATAAAACAGAAATAAACATATTTTTGGATCTTTTAATTTTTAATTTTTAATTTATTTTTGTTTGAATTTTTAATTCTCCCCCTAAATTTGTTCATAGAGGAAAAATATGAGCAGATTTAACAAAAAAAAACAAAAATAATAACTAAATTTAAAACATTTTGGGATCAAAGTTGTCAAGCAATTCAATATCGTTTATCAGCACACACCTGCATGTTTAGCTCTGTTCAATCACCAATATCGTGATCCACTTAAACACACATGATATTGACAAGTTGGATAGATTATAAGTGACAAGACATTGCACCTATATTCCTAAATAAACCATTTAGCTGACGACGACCAAGGATATTGTAGTCCACTTAAATTCAGTAGTGAGATCTATAGTCAACCTTTAGTTAATCCAATTTGAAGTTCACTATTCCAAAGAGCTCTTTAATTTAGGTGAGTGCTCAATTCTTTGAGAGAGAAGATAGATATAGATATGTTGTATCCCAGGTCGAATGTCTTCCAATCACGCAGAGGGTACAACATATAACTAACATAGATAGAGGCTTAGAAAGATAGAAGGGTGCATATGTTGTGTCCTAGGTCGGATCTTCCGATCTCGCAAAGAGGACTACATATGACTAACATAGATAGATAGAGAGGAGCATATATAGAGATGTATATAAATAGAGGTGCATATTTTGCATCCCAGGTCGGATCTTTCGATCATGCAGAGGGGGCAACATATGACTGACAGAGAGGATAAGAAAGAAAAACAATTTTACACCGACCTACTTTATCAGAACCCCCCAATCATCCTATCAGTACCAGAATTAAGGACATAAGTCCGTACATCGAAGAAATATTGAGCCATAGTTCTAGATGATAAGTAACTTTAATGTATCTTGTAGGCTCACTTGTTTATCTCATAACTCAATCTATCCGAGCGTCATATGGTCAGTCCAAATGAAACTATCTAAATCCAGATGAGTTGACACTATCAAGTCCTTTCATTGTCAATCTATGTCTAGTCCTTTTGAATCCTTCATGCCTACCAACACATTGAACACATAGTCTAAAAAAATTAGTTTCAGTGCATTACACGCCTCTCATATTGATCTTTAGCACTAAACTTCATATCACTTCCCAAAAACACTTACAAAGAAAACATTTTTTTAATTTTTATAAATTTTTTGTATTTTGATTTCTCCCCCTAAATTTGTGCATGGGGAAGAAAGAAAATAAAAGCGCAAAATTTTGTCTTCAAAACAAATCCTTTTAAGAAAAACTCAAGAGTATTTGAGAAACGCAAACCGTAATTCACCAATTAAAGTTGCATCCGGATGATCTGAGAACAGCACGCAGATGCAGCAACATGTTCAGCCTCAGTTGTGTTTCAACTCCGGAATGAAGTTAAGATATTCAACACGCCTATAAACACGATCCCCATTTGTGATCATTTCTTTCTTCCTTCCCGCAAAGGATACATGCTCTCAATTAAAGTTCTGAATGAAATGTAGTTAAGAGATGTCTCCTATCATGTGCCTGGAACAACCACTATCAATAAACAGAAGTTTGATGATATTCCTCCATAGCTACTCCGACACAAAGTGTGGGATTAGTTAGCTTTTGGAACCTAGTCCATTTTGAGGCTAGGTTGACCTTTATCATCTACACAAGGTACTTTCTTCAATGACATATCCTGTTTATGAGACAGAAGATGAAGAAATGTTATAATCATTAGATGATTTGGGAGTATAAACCTTTGGTACCCATCTGTAGTCGGGTTTAACCCATTTCATGGTTGATCGAATGGATGCCTTATCACTTGCTTTAGAACCTGAAACCGACCGCCGAGATGACTTTGAACAAACTGATCTTTGTCTAATAGAACCATCTCTTAACTTTGGCTTCTTGTCTGATATTCCCTTCTTTTCCTTGGGAATTTGATTCTTTTCCCTTTTAGCATTCTAGTCACCATTGCTTGAACGTGACCTTGAAGGGTTTCTTTTGGAGGATCTCACTCTTGGCACATTCTGCCTACCTTGTGCATAGTAGGGAACATATGCACGATTTGGATAATTTTTTGCAATGTGTCCAGGTTCTCCACAGTGGAAACATGTATATTTCTTCACATAGAAGTTGTTTCTGCATGTCCCTGGTAGCGTGCCCATGCCTTGTCTCTAATTTTTCCTAGAAGCACACTTACAACAAGCAGTCTGTTTTGCTTGTTTTGGTGGCCTGTATTTACCAACAACAGGTTTATTAGAAGTAAACGAATTAGAAGCAACAGATTCAAAGTTCAAAGAGACATTGATTTGACAATCAGCAGAATTAACATAACTAGAATTATTTTTGTGCTCCTTGTTCTCATCTTCCACTACTTTACCTGTACATGAAGTCGAAGCATTAGTATCATTCACCTCATTATTCTCAGTTGTGCCAGATTGTTCGGTCTTAACTGAAGCTGGTACTGGGGTTTGGCCATACTGAGCGGGTATCTCTACCTCATTGGTTTCAAGAGGTGGGGTATAGTTCTCATTAAAGGGAGGTGGAACACTGTGATACCCTAGACCCTTATTCTCATTGTCTTTAAATTTTAATTATTTCTCTATCATGGACACCACTACCTCACTTGACATGTCAAATTTCTTAAAGTTAAATTCAGCATCTTTATATTTAGCTTTTAGTGCATCAAGTTCGGTAATTAGACTAGAAATCTTTATTTGAGCATAATCTTAGCATTCACATTTAGTGTTATATTCTTCTTGAAGTTTTCTAAAGTCCTTGGTTTTGGCTTCTAATTGTTGTTTTTAAGGATTTTTGGGTCTTTCTGAGAGTATAGCCTTCATATTTAAGGTCCTCATTGTCTCTACGTAATATATCAATTTGATCACGAAGAAATTTAATTGTATCAGTACAGGCTTGAGAACAGGAAGTTTCATTGACCTCTTTTGTGATTGATGAACTCATTATTCACAATTTTTTTTATCAAAAATAGATCTGATTATGTAGCCAAGAAAAATGCCCTTTAATTTGAAACCACGAAAGTCAAGTTTGAAAGTCAAACTTGAAATTCAAACTAAAAAGGTCAAACTTAAAAGTCAAACTTAAAAAGTCAAACTTGAAAAATCAAACTTGAAAGTCAAACTTAAAAGGTCAAACGTAGAAAGTCAAACTTAAAAAGTGAAACTTGAAAATCAAAACTAATAGTCAAACTTGAAAACTTGAAAGTCAAAGGTCAAATTCAAAAGTAAAAAGTCCAATTTGAAAGTCAAAAGTCAAATTTGAAAGTCAAAAGATAAAATAGAAAATCAAAAATCAAATTTCAAAGTCAAAATAGCCAAAATCTTGAAAATCCGAAATTGTAGGCGAAATTTGCGAGGCTTTTAATATTGGCCGAGAAGTCTCACACCGTGAACCTGCTGAAGACCGCAAACACTGAGGTTGTTGACCGTGAACATGCGATCCGAAAACCTGCGGAACGTAGACCCTCACTTCGGACCGAAAACATGCGTGTAGACCAAGAACCCTCGCATCTTATCTGAGAACGCTGCTGGCTCCGAGATTTGCTAGCGGTTTGACCGAAAACCGAGGACTGCTGCCGAGGTCTCGTAGTTTTCCACTAAAAACACCAAAAACTTGCCAAAAACACGAGATTTTCAAATCTTTAACCACAAACTCGATCAAAACTCCATAAATATGAAGAACACAAAGAACAATGGCCAAAAATTCATAAGATATAAATCAAAAAAACCAAGAAACTCCAAGAAAAAAATGTATGCAATGACCCGATTGATACCGATCCAAGCTCTGATATCACTTGTAAGTCCCGAATTCTCCTATGAATCAATCAGATTCACTTTAATGGTGTAGAATCCCAATCAAAGTGTACAATTCAAGATAAAGACGAATAAGAACACAAATAGTTAATATTCAATGCACACTATTAGATTGAATAGTCAGGTACATAAGATGTTGATTACACACTATTCTCTCTTGTTTCTCTCTAAACTCACGGCCAATGCATATGGCAGCCCCCTTGAACGTCCCACTCTATATTTTAGGCCTAAATAACACTATTTATACCTAGACCCAATAACAAAGCCCAAGCCCAAAACCCAAACAAACCAATATTAAGCCTAAACAATATCACATGTGATTTTGGTTCAACCAACACCAAAACATGGTGCTTTCGATCCTAGACTGAGAACTCTAATAGCTTATGAAAAAAGCAAAGTATAAACCACAATTTATGACCTAACAATGCGCTTTAATATTACTCTAATTTGTAATAAATGTATTTGGACTAAACGATTTTCTTCATAATGGATTTATAAATTGGAAGCTTTATTATGATAAAATGAAAATTATTGCTTGTGAAATGGGACGTTACATTGCTCCTACCTCAGACAATAACAACCTTAACTCCATCTCCCTCACACGCTACTCAAGACTCTCAATCACGATCTGTAGTTACTATACTAGAGAACGAGTCTCCTCGAGATGATCATAAGCATGGAGAATCCTCGTCTCATTGTAATCTCTCCCCTACTCTACCCCCCTAACTCTACCAGCTAATAACCTAACCTCCCTCCTTAGGGAGTCCCGATCCTCCTTCACCTGATGTATGTGATCCTTGTGTCATGCAACTCTGGGATAGGATCGCACCTCGGTGCCTGGGATGACTCTTTGATCTCATAAAGGCCAATACTATCCTCTTGGATCCACTCGTCCACCTGGGGCATCCATTTGTGGATGGAGATAGTATATTTGATGGATTCGTGGATGATGATGGTAAGGCTTCCCTCTTGTAGGATGGGATGGGAATAGATTTTCTAGGGGTAGTGGTAATTCTACATCCAAGAGCATGAGTACTGAGAAAGGATGGGGGGAAGTGGGACAACAATCTTTGGGGATGACTCTGACTCAGTAGGGTCCTCCTCTTGAATCTCCTCACGATCCTAGTAGGAAGACGATTCTGGGTAGGGCGAATTGTCTGCAAGAACTCCATCGATGTCATCACCAGGATGCTCCTCATCACTAGGTTCATCCTCATCTTCAAATGGCTCCTCATCAGCTCATGTTGGGGTAGGCAATAGGGGCATCATCGGATCATAATCGATCTCATTCTTGGGCATGTGTGGCACCACTTAGTCTTCTTCCAAATATGGATGCGACACCCAATCCCCAATCCCATATGTCCTTCATATCACTTTGATTTCCTACATAAGACATCAAAAAATTAGATATTTATCAGAAATAATATACAATACATATAAATCCATATTATAGTGTGTGTGTGTGTATATACATACATATATATATATATATATATATATATGTGTGTGTGTGTGTGTGTGTAGGGTTAAGTTATTTTGTTCTAACTATCTATTGTGTGCATGTAGGATTGATTCTGCACCAATCATTTTAGTTATTTTAAGAAATTAATTAATGCATATTACATGTTAAATATATAATGAGTATTAATTAAATCTTTAGCATTTAATATGCATTAATTACTTTCTTAAAATAGCAAAAATGATCAGTCCATAATCAATCCTACATGCACACAATAGATAGTAGAAACATTTGAACCTAACTATATATATATACATATATATATATATATATATATATACACACACACACACACACACATATATATATATATATAGAGAGAGAGAGAGAGAGTTACCTAAGATACGACACTATCTACTTTATATATATATATATATATATATATATATATAAAGTAGATAGTGTCGTATCTTAGGTAACTCTCTATATGGGAGGTATGTTGTATGCTTGTCTCTATTCCGGATAACCCTCATGTGTACCATCCTCTTGCATTAGGTCTTGATCTAAGGCTCTTGTCTTCATGGAGTCGATCTATGCTACTAATCCGAAAATCTTCTAGTCGTAGGCCTCATCCTAATCTCTTAACTAGGCATACTAAACTACGAATCAATAAATCCTCAATCGTTTAGATTGTCAACCATGGCATCCAGGTTTAGGCGTGCGTCAGTCGAACCATAATAAAACTTAGTTGCACATTCTAGGTCTAGTTGTGGTACGGCTACAGTACTAGACTAACTCTAGGATTTGTTTTTAACCTATATTCATAAGTTGTGATTTGAATGGATAATTATTATGATAAAAGAGTGTATTTATAAGAGTTTATATAACCCTTTATATGATTAGTGTTTGATTAGGTTATTTTATTAATTTTATGTTTGTGTACCTCAAGAGCATTAACGAAGGATTGGGTAGGTAGGAAAAGTCGGAGGTAAAGACCATTTTTGCATATAGTCATTCTGAAATGCAGCAACCCAAATGAAAAAAATATCCAGCCTAGGCACGTCTCCCGTAAGTAGTCTATCCATACGGTAATCAATAATAATACTTTTATTAGTTTTAACTAATTCAAAGTTTTATTCCCTAGGTTATAGTCGTAGTTCCTAAGGAATTACTAGTTTGCTATAACATGTAGCTCTGATACTAATCTGTTACACCCCCGGCCAACAACGGAAACATTGGGTGGTGCGAACATAGGGAAATTGGATTGATATATATATATATATATATATATATATATATATATATAACACAAATGTATGTCACAAACATTACTTTTATTTATTATAAATTATTCTGGAATTACATTGTTTAAAAGACAAGAACACAACCTAACTTCAACAGAAACGATAAACAAATGGAACTAAAGTTCAACAAGCTTCCTTGAAGGCCTCCTCCTCATCGGCACAACAATCTTCCACACTTATCTTCTTGAGAATACATGTATTTTTGAAAATGTCAACCTAATGTAGGTGAGTGCATAGGTTTTTATAGTTTTCGGCTTTTATTTGGTTGTATGAATTTAAGAATCCTTTTTCTTTTATAAAAACATTTCCAAAGGTATTTTATCAATCCCAACTTAATATATTTTTAGGATATCTACTGATCCTATCTTATTATCCTAATAGGATATGTTTACTAATCCTTATTTACTATCTTTGTAGGATATCTAACGACCCTAACATATTTTATCTGCCACTCTAAGGCATCCCTAATGGTAGTCGGATCCCTAAGTTTTTTTGTAATGTATTACCATGAGCCCCCATAATCTACGTTGTTTGAATAATAACTTGCTCCACCATGATGCTTCATCGGACGTCGAATACTGAGTAGTAAGAAAGTTATCATGTTGGAATTATAGCTTGCATTCACACACGTGGGGTTGCCAAACCTCGTATAAATCTATACATATATTCCTAGGTCTCGCAAGATTAAAAATTATACGTACCGGGGAATGCCGAATTTAATCAAGGCCTCTGGATGAATATTAACAGCTCACTAACGCATTAACCTTAGGTATTTATCTTTTATCTTTTAGTAAATTACAAAAATGGTCCCTATGGTTTGATCTAATTCATAGTTTTGGTCCCCAAGTTTAAATTTTAAAGGTTACATCCATGTGTTTATATATATATATATATATATATATATATATATATAATATATATAATATATATATTATATATATAATATATATATACACACCTTATAACTACCATAATATAAATCTTTTATCTTATATTTGATAACTATAACTTTTGATCTCATAATTATTTTGTATGTATAAGTGTGTGTGTATATATATATATATATATATATATATATATATATATATATATATATATACACCCAAATTATGGTTATTTGAAAATAGAATATTTGGGCAGCGTAACAATTAGGTACGGTGCATATACATACATTTGACCATAATAATTTCTACGTACTACATTATCATATGGATTTTGTCATTATAACATTTATGTATTATCTCTTCCAAGATTATCGAGCAACATAACTCTTAGGCATAATATCATAGCTTACAACTAGGCATAATACTATAGCTACATAATTGTAGGGCTTTAAGCTTTATAAAATGATTTGATATTTGTAGATATAAATATATTCTGATAAAACCATTTGATAAGCATGTATCCCCCTGCCCCCAGTAAAACATTTAAAATAGTGAAATTGGGGTCGTGAACTCACCCAAATCGCATGAAACCTTTGATGTAGGGTTAAATCAGTCTCAGTACTCTGTGGACCACTCCAAAAGGGAACTACTTTGAGAAGAGAGTGAGAGAGAATTTTGAGAGGTGTGTTGGATGGAATGGCACGACCCTCTATTTATAGTCGAGTTTTGGAGGTGCGAGTCAGGAAAAATATATACGTGTGTCACCATGATCAACTTGACTCCACATGAAGTTATCATGTGTCACTCCCCACTCAGCCACGTCTCTCGTAACCTACTCGAATCCGGTGTTAGGTGTGCGACATGCAATGACGCGCGCCTTGCACACACGAAAAGATTTTGTAAAAATCATAACTTCTTTGTGCGAGCTCTGATCTAATCCCTCATTATTTTATGTGATGGTCTCAATGGGTACTACAACTCTCGTTTAGGTTGTTTTGGCTAGTTTTAACTTTCATTTTCATGCCTAACGGGGGTAAAAATAAATTATTTTACAAAAATCGCATCTCTCTCATACGGACCTCATTTTTGGCAACCCTTTCCTAAAGTTTATATCTTGAGGAGTACTACAAAACTCATTTTTGCACTTTTAGTCAAAACTAAACCAATCTCTAGGTACCGTTTTGACGTAATTAATTTTAATTTACGCGGTTGATTTCTATTTCTAAAAAATCCATAACTCTTTCCTTTGGAGTTAGATTTTTACGAATCTTATATACTTGAAATCACGTTAACAAGTATTATCCAAGTATGTTAACCAACTTAGAAAATGGTACAACTTTTCGGACGCTAATTTTTTAGACTAATGGAGTTTTTAACAAATAAATGTAATGACACATTTCATTCTTATTATCTCACAAATCAAATATTACAATACTAAGCTATTACATCTATTTTTCTACTCTTTCCTAACGGTGATCAGTGACGGAAACCTCTAGGTTGTCACATTATGAGAGAAAATTTAATGATTCGTATTATATTTACACACCAAATTTAGAGGAAGTAATTGTAGGATTAATATTATGAAAATATATGATAACAAACAAGAAAATAGAAAAAACTAAAGCATATGTTTAACACATTGTCTTTGAAACAAATTTTTCTGCTACTGGGTGTTTGTTTTCCATGATATAACAACTTGGAGTGGTTCTTTGAGACCACCCGAACCTATAGAAGGCATGGGCTTTATCTTTAAGCGGCAAGAAAATGAATCATATGAGAACATGAGAGGAGTCAACAATTGTTATTTTCTTCTGGTGTCTTCAAATGTGATCTTGAAGTTGTATTTATACAACAAAAAAATAACCTACACATTAATGGTAGTATTATAACTTACACAAGTGTTTAATAACTAATTAAAGTGTAATATTAATTACAATTTCAGTTACGAAAAAAATATTTGCGAAAAGGACCCTGGACTTTTTCTTTTCCTTCTCCCATCCCCATTGAACTCATTTATTTACTTCTTCCAACACCCTCACTTTATAGATGAATTTCCCATTCATATTAAATCCATTTTAGACGTGTGACATACCAAAACGAAGATATCATAGAGGATAACACAAACATGTAACCATTAATTCATTTTAATAACGGTTTCGGGTTCAGATTTCACTAGTTGTGAGACCCGTATATTATACGGGTTGGAAAAAACAAAAAAAATAAATATGAAGGTTTAAACAAAAAGTTATCTAAATTTGAAATTTTAGATTTGAAATTTAATATTTAAAATTTGAATTTAAATGGAAACGCATTAAATACTATATGAGTTGTAATATTTTAATTTATTGGTTATTTTCAATTAAGGAAATTATTAATTGAGGTGTAAATATGAGGTATTAATTAAAAAAAGATAAAAACAAATGAGAAAATGACAAATGGAAAAAACATTTATTCAAAAATACCAAAAAATGACATGTGTCCAAGTTAATGAGAGAATGACATGTGGCAAAATTATTTTCATTTATTAGAGAGGATGTTTAAAATAGGGAAAAATCATTTTTTATAAATTG